CTTGAAACCGACATTATCGGTCCGTACATCGGTTCGCCATACAGGGAACGCTTCCAGGCTTCGATAACGGTCTCCATCGTGCGAAGCATGTCTTTCCAGGGCCCTTTCTTGCATGATAGTCCCATGAAAACAGGCTTCGCTCCGTACCCCGTTTCATACAAGCGCGAGATTGCTCCGACAGATGTTTCGTGTGAGATGTGGAGACTGCCTTCCTTGACCGCGGCCACTGCTTCCTCCACTGTGTGAGTATCCTTTCCAACTTTCACCGTTTTGAGCGTTGAAACGTGCTCCACACAAAAGCCGCCCATCTCGTCTGTTTCGGGGAAGTAGTCAATCTTCCGCTCTGTGGCGAGCTCGTCGAATGACAGCGTGTGGCCACGGACGATAGGCGGTGGGTCTATCATGTCGGCTGATTTGCCCGCATCACGTCGTATATGAGGACCAAACAGCGCGGCGATATTCCTGGAAATGTCTGACATGCGCAATCCATTGATGGAAAGTACCAAGTTGTGCTGACGGCGATAGGGCTGGATTGTGTTGCGGGATGGAAGTGCGAAAATGGAGTGATTCAATGCATATACGGCTCCACCGCCGCCGAGTTCGTACATCAAGATGGCTAAATCGATCTCGTACTGCGTATAGTTCCGAGCCGTGTAGTCCCCGGCGACGGCAAGCTTGCATTGCTGGAGGGTTTTTTTAGCGCTCCATCCCTCCTTGTCCGCATTGGTCAACAGCCTGTGCAGCGCAGGAATCGAATTCTGTCCCATAAATTGGAAAGTCTGTGTGAAATCGGACAGACGTCGCCTTGCACTGGCCAGAGAATCGGACAAATCAAGATTCTAATAATGAAAGTGTTTAGAAGTCAAGCTCCCTCCGGCAAACAAAAACATACTTTGAGTTTGAGCGCATTGAGTTTTGCTTCGGTCACCGCTAACTTAGCGCGAAGTTGCTCGGAACTCAGGGTATCGTGATTACGGATTTGTTGGTAAGAGCGGCCGGCTCGCTCTTTGACGATTGAAACATCGAGCGTCAGAGCCGAACACTTGGAACACGGCTGGAGACCGTCGGCAGTCACTACGGCTCCTAGACATTCGGGCGAACGCGCTTTTGGGGTTTCAGATAAAATCAAGTCGTAAGGGAGCTGTCCCTTGGCGCGGGGGGAATGCAACAGAAAAGGATATGTATCCCAGAAGCTCTCGTCATCCCAGTCGATGATTATACCGGGGCACGGAACGAACCAACGCCATGATGAGCTGTCACGGACGGATTGGCGAAAAGGCGGTCCCGGAGCTCCCGTCAAATGTGTCGAGGACGGCAAGGTAGCTCCGCGCGGCTGCGATTCCGACTGCGTTGAGCTCGAAGCGAGATTCTGACTGGTATCTATTACAGATATGTAACAGCTGAAGAACATAATCTGTAACCACGCACCTTTACAAGCACCACTGGACATATGAGTTTGTACAGTCCCCGCATTTGCGCCTATCTTGAATATTTTGCCACATCTTGGGCATACGGGGGCAGTCTGCTGGCTGAATGTATCCGGCGAGGTAAAGGGAACAGAACTGGAGCCCTCGAGGAGGGATGGTGGTACAGGAGGGCAAGAAGAGATAGAATCGAAGACATTTTCACGATAATATGAAGTACAGGCTTCATTTACACGGATATTATCGACAGTATTTACACCAGCATCGGTGCTTTGTTGGCGATTCACAGTGGCTAATAGGGGTCGAGTAGGGGCGGAGTGACGCGGTTAAGCGGTGGGTGATGTTTGACTCGGTGTCTGTGCGGTATGAGCTGCACAACGCGTGTGCGCGACGCGTCGCGCACGGCCTGGTCGTGGCGGTGGGTGCTAGCCAAATATTTGGCAATATTTGGCCCCCTTGGCCTCACGTGTTGTTGATGGTGGGCCCAATCCAGAGATCTGAGGCCTCTTGCAGTTGATGGTGGTATAGTGAGCGATTTTCGTACAGATTCCCATGTCACCCAAACCGGAAATTTGTGTGCTTCAATTCAGCAGTGAGCCGGGTGTAAGGCGTCCGCGATCCTCGATATTATGAGTGTTATCGAGGGGGCGAGGTCATGTCCGCGACTCATTGACGAGAAGAATAGGTCGAAGAATCTGTCGAAGACGAAACTGCGGATTTTGGCCGGGAGAACTCCTGGGATAGTTCAATCCGTGGTAGAGAGTAGGTATCGTACTAGTCGGCATCAATACCAAGATTGGAGATCGGATTACGGAGCTTCCGTCGTCAAGTGCAGTCCTACAATCCCATATGCTCGACGCATATGTCAGTGGATTGACGTCATTGTGTTTTGCGTCTGGAGTTTCAGACGCAGGATAGCCAGCCAAAGCTGCACCCACTGGAATTCCCGATTCCGATGACGATTCAGGGGTCGGTTGGGGCTTGGGCTGCCCAATTTGATTGATGCCGTGCATGGGCTTGAGACATCATCCTTGTTTCTGCTCCTAGAGTTGTAGAAGCGACGGAAACGAGAGTGGATTGAGAGCGAGGATGCTATTTTTCAACTTGAAATACTATCAGTGGCAAAGTGTCCATGATGGACCACATCGTAGCAATGACGCCACGGTATCCCGCCAACAACACACTGCGGGCAAGTGCCATGGCCGTGGGTTCACGGCATATGATTGACACTTGGCATGGCGTTGCACAGGCGTTGCACAAAGATCGGTTGTCTTCGGCCGATGTCACTTCCGAAGTGCGTGGGAAATCGGTGGGAAATGATTGGTTTGGAGTCTGAAGAGTGCGGAGAGCGCGCGCGAGGTGTACGGCGAGTGCACGTTGGGGTTGTCAGCAACACACACTAGTATTAGTGTGATTTTCTTTGGCTGCGGCTGCATTTGTACTTGTCTTCCTTGAAAATATACTGGTACTGCTCAGACTCCTTTCTCCGACCGTTTTCTGTGTTGAGGTATGGCAGCTCAGCGAGACAGCGGAAGATGTAATTTATTGTTTGAGTTTGGATCTTTCAATGGAGAGTTTACGCTACAGCCATCAGCGCCACTCAGTGGCTGATTTGTAGTGCGCAGGCGAGTGACTCTACCCGCCAAAAGTAGCTCCCAGTGGCTCCAAACACCATCTGCGGGGATTTTGGGCGGGTGGAGCCATACGTCAGCGCACTGCAAATCAGCCACCGGATGGCACTGATGGCTGCAGCGCAAAGGGTTTTCCGACCATTCCACTGGGTATTTCACGAGAAAGAAGCGGAAAAAGAAATCGAAAAAAGGAAAGAGTCCGGAAAGCTCCGGACAGCTCCAGATACAATTTGAGCGGGCTGTGGGCAATACAAGGCAACTATTTGTAAGTGAAATGAGTATTTAATCCCTTTCAACACCTGTACATTCTCCAAGTTATGAATTAAACACTGCAAACCATTATACAGTTCAAAAATGATTGTTTTTTGAAACACAAATGTTGGTGGCAACTATGTTGCTTTTGGTATCTGTCGCCGTCGTATCCCTGGTGTAAAGTACATCAGGAAAAACCCAAATTGCTATAGGTTCTATGGGTTGACATATAGATACACATAGACACATATGGACCCTATAGCGCCGTGCTATATCTTCTATATCGTCTATATGAGTCTATGCACATCTATAGAACACCTCATAGCCAGTTGGCTTTTTCCTGATGTAGTCTGCATTGGTCCGGTTGACATTCAGAATTTCCCGGGTCATGAACCGTTCCTGCAAGAGTGGAGAAATGGACTGAGTGGAAATCCGTGAGTGGTGAGGATCAATTTTCTGTCCGCTTAGTGTAGTGGTTGGCTTAAATCTGAGCTTCGCAAGAACTCAGAAAGCTACCGAAATGAGCCCCCGGCATTAAATCACGGCTAAATGAAAAAATGTCCCGCATCTGATAGCAGTCAGCACGGCAACTCTCTTTTGCGATGGAATCAGATGTCTCCGGTCCACCCGACAACATGAATATGTTTATGGATCAATTTGATGCCCGGACGCGTCACAGTCGCGTTCTCAAGCAACGAAGAGATGGCAGGTCACATCAGCCACCTGAACGTGACGAGATATCTGCAATGTCACATAGTTATCTGTCATTGGGCTTTACCAGCCTTCACATGTCACAATTCACAAAGCTGAGCGGGGAGAATCAATCCATATTCTTTTATACTTGTGCTCAAATATTCCGATGATTTTGGAAGGTTTGTATCGAGAGCAATGGGTGGATGGCAGATAACTGCACAGCCACATCGCAGATAAATGCCCAGCTGATCGATCGGTAAACGACGCAAAGAGGCTATGTTTGGCTTAACCTTGTGGGCTAATCACCGGTCAGGCCGTTCCCGATGGACAAAGGGAAATTGATTGTTTGTGCAACGCCATGGCAAATGCAAGGCAAACACCAGGCAAGTGTCGGTCCCACGCCAGTCAAATGCCATGAACCCACGGCCATGGCACTTGCCCGCAGTGCAACATGCCGGCGGCGAGATGAACCGACTCCTCCTGGAGTTTTTTTGGCCCCCCTAGCAGTTTGGCATACGGACAGGAAGGCAATATCGGCGTGGGGAAGGGACAGCTCGATAATGCCGGAGAGAGTTAACTGAGAGCTTCCAGCAAGGAGTGCACTCTGTCAGATCACCGATTTTTACACGCAATGGCAAACAAAGTGCACCCAGCGGGAGGTCATCATCCCTTGCTGTACGCTCTGCACGGTCGCCGTCTCTTTTTCCAATCGCGGAACGGAGATTTTGCCCCTGGCGAGTCGTTCGATGGAGCTCTTCTTGGGTCCCAGGGATGTATGCTTGGCTGTTGCGCAACAGGCTAATATCCAACATGGATCACTACAGAAAAGATCTCACTATCCGCCCCAAGGGTGTCTTGTCATTCATTTGCGATTTTGACCTAGGCACTATGGGAGGGTGTGCGGGAGAATCCCACTGGCACTTATTTCACTCGCAGAAGGAGGCGCGGGTGTCCAGTGGTGCGGGGTAAGAAAAGAAAAGAGTTGATATTTACCGCCCTACGGTCCAAGCCCGAGTCGAACGGGCGTCTCCTGCACGGAAAGTTCACGATTTCCTATGAGATTCAGGTGCGGGCCACTCCGCAATTGGACCTCCTGAGCGTACAGAGGCGGTTGGATAAGTGTGAGATCAAATGGGTGTTTAGCAGCGGGTGAAACTCACTTTTCGGATAAGCACCGCAACCCGAAAGCCAGGAAATTGAATTGCGGGTTTGAGAATTGGGTGAGAACCCGAGTGTGGTCAAAAAAGAATAGGTATGCCGCGTGTGGCTGCCGACTACTCACATGCGCATGAATTCTCGAGCTGGAGAGTGAAACGGGAGCTGACACAATACACCGTTCAAGCCCGAGTCAAACGGGAGTCTCCTGCACAAAAAGTTCAAGATGTCTTACGAGATGCAGGTGCGGTCCTCAGCTGGACCTTGTTACCGCGAAGGGCGATGTTAGTATGTGGGGCGACGTGAAGGCGTCAGGGCGGCGTTTAGGCCTGAGGTTCGCGTAGCAGTGTGTATCGCTGGTTCATCGTGTGCATCGAGTGTGATGTATGTGATGCTTGAGTCGGAGTCTTGCGCGCGGGCAAAGGTATACAGGTAAGATATTGTGAAAGATGCCAAGTGATCGCGGGGTAACGCGCGCAGGAGCTGAGAGGGAGAGGAAAGCCAGAGCTTGCCGCATCGCGCCGGGTAGTCTCACGCAACATCAACGCTAGGGATCCGACCAGATTAATGCAGCATAATATCACAGTTTGAAGAGCGCGCGGCTAGAAGTTCCCGCGAGATGGGCGATTGCGCGAGACTTTGACTGAACTTGCGGTTTGGGCGGGAGAGCTGGGAATGCCACGAGAAGCTTTCAGAGAGTGGAGATCCAAGGATTCCGCGATCTCGCCGCCGAGGAAGGTAATCGCCGCAGAGCAGCGCAGCGAGCACAGCGCCATGACGGTGGGAAGCAACGAGCAAAAGATGGATCAAACTTCGGCATTGCCACGTGGTGCGGCTTTCCTCCTTCCCGTCGGTCTTCGTTGTCCGAATGACTAGGCGACGACTCCAGGCTTCTCGTCGACGAATCGTCTCGCACTCAGACAACTCAGCTTACACCCCAACGATGACGAACCCATCTCCCCTCCGGCATTTGGATGCAGCCGTCACCCCCCAAAGTCTTCCAGGGCCTCCGATGAAACCCCAAGCGCCTCCTAAGCTACGCGCTGCAGCGCCCACGACGCCTCTCCGACATCCGTCCGCCATACATACTCGCACTGAGGGAAACGGGAGGTGCGTGTGCTTTGGTGCGTCGGTGCCGCGATGCTCACGATGCTGACTGGATATCTGCCTAACCTCACTCACACCGCAGTGGATATGAAGCGCGCTGCAGCCGCGCCGCACTCGCGTCATCTACCTCCCCCAGCTACACCTCCACGCCGCCTATATCCACCGCAAGCCTGCTCATCAACAGCATGTGCACGTACGCATCAGCACCGGCCTCGCCGTTTCCATGCCCGTGCCCTCCTCATCACAACCTGCCGCCATACCCACCCCCTCTAGCCGCCTGCATCGAGTGGCGCGCACCCGACCGCACGTCGGACCGCAGGCGCGTACGCGACTACTCATGCGCGCGCGAGGATTCCCTTTTCGCACTGGGTGCCTCCTCCGCTGCCGCTCTCCGCGGTGGCGCCACATTCGTGTGAGAGAAATAGGTATCGCGTGCTATGCGATCACCGTGGGACGGATTGGTGTTACTGTATGTAATACCTTTCCAAGAGAATATGACATATACTCGGGTTCAAATACTGGAACCTTTATATAATCAGTCAACACAGCTTTCACCAAAGAAGTCTTAGATTGAAACCAGAGCTAGCGTCGTAGTTTAAATATGTAAGGCTGCTATCAACTAATAATGCTAGTGCAGGATGTTACACCAAGTTGACGATTAAGCTAAAGAAAGATGAGCGCTGTCGGCCCGGCTTGAGAATCACGCAGGTAGCGGAGAGTGAAGTTTCACGGTAGTAGATTGCAAAGTAAGGATGATGTAGATTGGTTTTCTTTACAGGAGGAGGACAGGCCTCTTATATACTGCTAGCTATTGAGTGAGTCATAATTCACTGACTCACACTGACTCAAACTAACTCAAACTGACTCAAACTGACTCTAAACTGCACAGCAAAGTACTGGAAATGCAAGGTCAGGACTGAGTCACAAGGCAGTGTTCAACCGTGGGAAATAAATACTGAATGCGAGGCATGTAGGCTAGAATAATCGTAAATAAATGCCTACATACTGTAAAGTGCCAATATCCATCACAATTCGTCTGGCCGGCATCTCGACATTGTACTGGGTTCAGACTCCGCCGGGCTATCAACGCCGCAACGGGGGCCGCACGGAGGGATTCAGCTGCTCCTACCAACCAGTCGCTCTCGCTGTTCCTCCGCCGCGCCCCCGTTGACTCCATCGCTGACCCTCCCTCCCCGCAGCTCCCGCAATTCTAATGTCACCTCGGCGATCCTCCACGGCCCAACGCTACGAACAGTATCCTCCCCCGCCCAACCGCTCTTCGCACGATGGACATCCCGGACTTCTGCGTGAGGTCTAAGAGTACCCTACCCCATCATAATCCGCGAGATGTCAATGTTCTGGACAATACCGCGCGATTAAGGCCGATTTCTTCCGCTCTAGACTCCGGCTGAGCGACGGTGTCGCTCGGCCTCGTTCGCGATCCCTCTTTGTCTCTACGGCGATACATCCCTCGGCCAGCGGAAAGGGTTACTTAGCTGCCGTATGTTAGCTCTGATTCGTTTTTATCTCGGCCGCCGTCGTGATCCCAGGTCATCCCTGCTCCTTTTTTTGACGCGCTCTACTGTCCTTGGCCCCTAAATACATTATTCTTTTGACAAATCCCACCATCACAACATAAACGCCCTCTGATACGCAATGGATTCAGAAAGCCGAACTGCACGCGGGGGGAAAATCTGAACCTTGAGTTGAGTCTTACGGACCACAACGAAGCCTCACTCATCCTCGCTCTCCTCCGCGCGGACCTGAGAAAAAAAAAATAGCTTCAATTACTATGACCGAATCCCGAATCGAACGGGAAGCCTGCTACAGGGTTCCCACTGTCATACGGCTCGCAGGTGCGCGCCGCGCGCCATCCGGTCTAACAAACAGAGCAGTGTCCGATGAGAACCGGACCCGCTCCGATGACTCCAGGAACACGAGGATACATATTCACTATGAATGAAGAATGAACACACACTGAATAAGCACCCCTTCCCCAAGTCTGATCGTGCAGCAGTCCACTCCTCCGTTTGCGTACAAAAAGCAATAAACAGACCCTATGCCCGGATCCCGAGTCGAACGGGCTCCCTCCTGATTCTGATTGCAGGGTGCAATGTCATTGAAAGCGGGGCGCACCGCGCTCTATCCGAGCTGCATGTATGCAGAATGAGTAGGTTTTGGTCTTGCGGGATTTGGATGCGCTGCTGTGTGAATCTGAGGTGCGCAAATGCAAATGAACCAATCTCCGTGCCTTACGCAACAGGACGATATGTGTTGAATAATATGCAGCATAAACGAACCCACGCTGAATACTCTCTCACGAGTCACACCTGCCGATGGGAATTTTGTTCCCCCGGTCAAATCCTCTATTTGCCGAAGAAACAAATGCAATGTGATCCAATGTACTCAGATCCTGAGTCGAGCTGCCGCCCTGCTGAAGGACACCTAACACAGTCAAGTGGTGACGGGTGCGCATCAAGCGGTATCCAGGCTGGAACGGCGGTGGATAAGGGCTAAATTAGGTCTACATAAGGGGGTCTCAGCAGCTTACAACTAAGAAAGGCGGAAGGAACAAATCACATCGCGCTTTATGCACACGCACACGGCGAGTTTCATAAGTATCTGGTGGCACGGAGTAGGAAAAGCAAAACAACATGGATCATATTCCACGGCCCAAGCCCGAGTCGAACGGGCGTCTCCTGGATCATATAGTTTTGAGCGTTCCCGCACTGAGGTGCAGGCGCGGGCCACTCCGTAATTGGACCTTGACAACGGGAAAAGGAGCTTGGAGAGGTGGGAGAAAAATGCATAAGCAAAACTGCGCGTCGACAGTGAGGATCCAGCTCCACGCTATACACGTCCGGGGACAGGAATCTGCAAGTACTCAATGAAATATTAAGTTATGGACACGCACCACCCCATGTGACGTATCGAGCCGTGGAGGGGAAAAAACACACTGATCGATGTACGGTCCAAGCCCGAGTCGAACAGGCGTGTCCTCCGTAGTAGCGACGTGATCAACCGATATAATGGAGGTGCGGTCCACACCGCAACTGGACCTTGGTACTGTGGAGTGGTACTCGGTTAACACACCGAGAGCGAAGAGAAATCCCAATATTGGGGATGAGCCTGACACCATGGCATGCAATAAAAATGCAATAAAAATGCAACAAAAATGCAATAAAACAATGCGATGAGATTCACACGCGCGCGAACTGCCGCACCACGGGGAAGATAGAAGATATCACCAGTACAGCCCGAGCCCCAGTCGAACGGGCGTCTCCCCAGACTCCTGCATACCAGCAATGGCCTGATCTCATATGCCGCAGGTGCAACCCACCCTGCAATTTAACAGAGTGGAACCTGAATAGGAGTAAGAAGTATCATGGTTCCGAGTTCAAAATTACGTGCCGAGAGTGAGGATCCGGTTCCGTAAATGGAACTCCCTCGATCGCCTGTGCTGACGGGTTGACAAAAGGGGGAAAGGTTAGGATAATTACCCACTCGGGCGGAGTCGCGAACCGCAACGAAAACATTTCGCCTGACGGTCCGAGGCCGAGTCGACCGGGCGTCTCCTGCACACAAGGAAATTGCGACCTACGAGATGCAGCGACGGACATTTCCACAGTTGGACCTTCCTACTGTGGAGTGGAGCCCGAATAAATAGTGAGCGTGTGCCCAAGCGGCATGCCGCTTTTTGATTGTGCAAAAAGCGGCATACAGCTTTTTTATATTTTCTCTCTGAAGGCCATTACGACTGTCTACTACCATTGTGGTGTCAGAATTTGACTGCCAGGCAGAATTTGTAAAAAAGCTGCATGCCGCTTTT